GCGCGCGCCCACCAGGTGCCAGCCCCGCAGGCCACCCACACCGTCCCCTGCACTGCTGTCCGCCCTGGGGACCCCTGCCGCCCTCCCCCGACCTTGAAGCTTCCTTGGCACCCCTCCCGGTCTTAATCCAGACTCTCAACTCCTTCCTGTGGGCTGGGTGCTGGCCTGGCACCTCCCCGCCCCCAACTTCCGTTCCATGCTCCATAGGCAGCGCTAGAGAAACCCTTTTAGACTCAGCTCTGGTGACAATAGTCTCTCAACCGTGAGTGATACTGGACAGTTTGAACCCAGTGCACACAGACTGTCCTGGGTTACAAGCACCAGCTCCTGGCAGGGACCTTCCTCTGACCACAGCTCCCAGCCCCTCCCTCCAGCCTTTCCACCGCCTCAGTGCGTACGGGCCTCTCCAGGGCAACCTGCTCAAGTTCACTTCCCTTTCCCGCTGCACCTCACTGGCCTGCATTTCAGCCTTGTCCCCAGCGCCCAACCCCAACAACCCTTAACCCTGGATCAATCCAAAAGGCCAGCCCTACTGCCAAATAGGCCAGCCGTGCCCTATTTGCTGGATGAGTTCTTCCTCCTCCTACTAGGCCCAGCTCAATCAGGGCACCCTCCGTGCAGCAATCTCCCAGGCCTTCCTTTGAGCTGGTAAATCCCTTCTCTGTTCCCATAGCCCAGGGGTGGGGAACCTTTTCTTCTGCCAAGGACCACTGGGGTGTCTATAACATCATAAAATTATCAACTTAAAAATTAGCCTGCTATCCTTGGCCAAACATTTAATTAAGGCATCCCTAATGCCTTGGCAGGGCCAGACCAAATGATTTTGCGGGCCTTATACAGCCCATGGGTGGGCCGTTCCCTATCCCTGCCATAGCCCTTTGAAGATACATCTGTACCGGCTCTTTTCACATCAGAATAGCTTTGTTTCCACATCATCTATATCAAATTCTGAGTTCTTTGAGAGCAGGCTAGGTCTCTGGCTTGTTTGTGCTTGCATCCATGACGCCTGGCCCATAGTAGGTGCTCAACAAATAATAAATGTTAAGTGAATGAGCAAATGGGTGAGTGGAGTTCCCTCAACATAGGAAGCCCTGCAGAAGCAGATGCTGGGAGTGATCCCCCTGCTGGCTGCAATGACATGCCCCTGTTCACCTCCTCACAGGCCACAGTGTAACAATGAGTGGAGACACGGAGATGGCGGCGTGGCCACTGCGTCCTACGCATTCTCTCTCACATCAGTTAGTTCTAAGGAAGCCGGAGCATGTCGGGGATTCGGGACTCACAGGCACATGGTCCTGGGCCATGGCTGCCCACACTGCACGGCTCCAGAAGGCACCCCTGGGGTTCTGCGACATGGCAGCACTGCGATGATCGGTCCGAGGCACCTGGTGGCCAGTGCCGCGTTCTGTCTTGGCCATTTTCTCAGAAACTTGAGAGGCCAGGAGGACCATCTGACCAAATTACCCTCTCATGCCAACTAGTTACAGAAGTAATGAGGTCAGAATGGTCACTTCCAGTGAATGCAGAGGTCAGCAGATTCACCCGAAGGTCAAGGGGTCAGTCCGGGAGAAGCTATGGGAAACCAGGAGGCTAGCAGGTGCAATGGGTGGATTCAGGCCACTATAATGGCCTTGTTCTCTGCCACAGAAGTCTGTGATGGAATGAACTCCCCATCACCAGGGGTATGCCGGCAGAGGCTTAATGGAGAAGGTACAGGGGACCTCTGCAGACCAGAGCCGTCTTCTTTCCAGGGCATTCATCTGACGCTAGTGAGTACCTGCTCTGTGTCAGGCGCCGTGGGCTCACTGGGACCCAGCCAGTACTTAGAGACCCAGACAGACATGAGCCCAGTTCAACCAGCCAATATTTAGCTGATTTCACTGACGAGCTTTAGAAGAGGCCGTGAGGGTGGGGCCCTTATGGTGACATTAGTGCTCCTATAAGAAGAGACGCCACAGAAGTCTCTTGCTCTCTGTCTGTGCCCTCTGAGGACACTGGGAGGGGGCAGCCACCTACAAGCCAGGAAGGAAGCTCTCACCAGAAACTGACCATGCTAACGGCTGGGTTTTGGATCTAGCCTCCAGCACTGCGAGAAAATGAGTTCCTGTTGCTTAAGCCGCTATGGTGTTCTGTGCAGCAGCCTGAGCTGACTAGGACACGCCCTGGCCAGCAAGCTCTAATCTCACCATAGGGCAGGGTCTGCCTGGGGCAGCAGCCTCGCCTGCCGGGTTCTGTCTCAGAGGGCAGGCTGGAGTGGGCGAGTAGCTGGCGGTGAGGTCTGGTTCAAAGAACCAGCTTTGGTTTTATTGGTTTTTCTCAATAGTTTTCTATTTCATTGATTTCTGCTCTTATCTTTATTATTTCCTTCCTTCCGCTTGCTTTGGGCTCTCCAAAGACCTTAAACATTGTTATATGGGACATACTGATTGTTAACTCCATTGAAGGGGATAAATATTAGCCATCATTTACAGTTGAGGATCTGAAAGAGGTTAAGTAACTTGCCCAGTGCCCTGAAGCTACCAAGTGGTGGAGCCAGGATTCAAACCCAGGACTTCTAACCACTGGACAACACTGCCTCCCAGCCAGAGCCTTCACTGCACCAGATGCCTCGCCAAGCACGGTCAAGGAGAGCCGCTTCTCGGTGTCTCTCGGACATCCGTGTTTCCTGTCTTCCTTCCCAGTGACCATCAACTTTCCTCGGGGTCTACTGGCAATCCTCCCAGTTCCCTTGACCGAAAGGTCCCGGGGCTGCCCTGTCCAGGGAGAAAGCCTTCAGAACCGCCTTGGCACTTACCTTGGACTTGGCTGAACTACAGGTGGTGGGATCTGTTGGTGAGAACAGAAAGGAAAAGGAACGTTGGATGGGGCAGGAGCAGGCTGAGACGTGTGAACACGATTCCCTCTTCAAAGGCTTCAGAGACCAGGGAGTCCAGAAACCCGAGACCCCCCCTGGGTCTGGGCCATCCTGGGCCTCTGAGGCCAGTTCCAATGGGGTAGGGATGGAGCAGAGCAGGGTGTCAGTCACTGCTTCCTTGTGAGGCAGGACGGGCCACCAGGCTGCCAGCCACTGACGCCTCATGTGCCCAGGGTTAAGGGCAAGAGGGGCTTCTGGGGGCCGATTTCCTCTCCCCCTCCTCTCCCGGTTACTATGAAGCACTGGAGAGAAAATGCCCGGTACCAGATGCAGTCCACGAAACCACAACAGTGAGACACAGCAAATCACAGATGCTCTGGAGAATGGAGACCACACAGTGCAGAGAGAGGGGGGTGCCCGACATCCACCCTCACCCCCCACTTGCAGGACATGAGAGGACCACATGAATGAATGAGCGAATGCAGGGCCGACAGGAAGTAGGTGGGACACAGGAGGCAGAGTGGCCTGGGGGCTAGAGCCCTGCTCGGTTCCACGTCCAGACCTGAGGCCCTCGTTTATAACGGAGAGTCAAGTCATGATTACCTCCGTGGGGCTTGGGTCCTGCTCCCGGAATATGATGGGGGTGGAGAAAGAACCACAACCAAGCCCTGCAGCGTCTCCTCCAGAAGGGGCAGGGAGCAGGCGGCTGCGTGCCCTCCCCGGCCCGAGGGGGCAGTGGGCAGTGCAGTTAATCCACACTCTCTGGCAAGCAGGTTAGAGGCCTCCTCCCCAGCCCACCCCGCACATGGTGAGAAGAGCAGATGCGCTGACCACACAGCGACACACCACGGGGCAGGGGAGCGGCAGCGGGTGACTAGAAGAGACGAGGGCTCCTCTGCCATCCCCACCCCTGTCGTCTGGGCCCTCCCCCAGCCTGCCTCTTGCAGCTAAGGGTGCTGTGACACACCTCCTGTCGGAGACAGGACCGAAGGACCCAGGTGAGGTCACTCCCAGGGTGGGAGGAGTTAGTGGCTGCTCTCCTGTGAGAATGGCCGGAGGCCTGCAAATAGGACTCAGGCTGAGCGACCAGGGGCTCTGGTTTCAGAAGCAGAGAGAGAGTCAGTCCTTGAAGGGGACTGAGGCAGGAGCTACAGCCATAAGAGGCTTCTGAAAGGTGGTGTCACTGGTGTCCGGAGAGGCTGGGTCCTGCTCCCAGCCAAGCCTCCCCCTGCCCAGGTAACCAGACGTAGCCGGGCTGGGCACAGAGAGAAGGCCTCGGGATGGGGATCACCATGCGGTGCCCAGACTTCCTGGCCAGGGGGACAGGATCTGGCTCTAGCAAGTGCCTCCCTCCTCCTGAGAAGGGCCTTCCAGACGGGAGGGGACTGGCACGGGGTTGTTAGCGATCATGGGGAGCTGGCGTGTCAGGGTGAGGTCCTCACTGCCCGGATGTCCCCGCCTGCCCCTCGTGCCTGCCCAGCCTTCTTATAATCACCCGCCACTGTTAGTGACCGAGGCCGCGGCGCCACACTGTACCCTTTAAATCTCCAACAGGTCCGCTGGAGGAGGGGGAGGGAGGAGAAGAGAAGGAACAGGATCCAGGGTGTGGGAGGAGAGCAGAGGGAGAAGAGGGAGGAGGGATGGGGGGGTGCAAGGAGAAAAGGAAGAAAAATTAAAAAGAGAAACATGCCCAGAAGGACACAGCCCATGAGAAATAAAAAGCTCAGGAAGGAAACCAGTGAAGGAGGGTGAACAAAACTCCTCCCCAGCCCTGGGGTGGGGGCAGCTGAGCAGATGAGGGGGTGGGCGCACAGGCAAGCTGGACCTCCCCAGAGAGAGAGAGACGCCCTGCCACAGCCCCTTCGCGGTGGTGGGGGGAGGGAAGGGCCCCGCGGGGCAGGAGCAGGGAAGCTGGGCGTCTGGCCAGGCATCTGGGATGGCATCTGGGACCCTCAGGGATGCAGGGCCCCCCTCACCTCCCCCCCCCAGGACCCTGCACTCACCCGGACCTGGGTCGCCAGGGGGCACTGTCCTGCCAATGTTGGGCAGGAGATACTCGATGTTGGGCACTGACTGAGGCTCCTTGTCATCCACAGGGGTCTGCAAACAGAAGGAGGGTCAGCCGCCAGGATGGGGTCCCCTGGAGACAGGGCGCACGTCTCCTCCACAGACTGGCTCCGCAGGGCAGTACTGTCTCCCTCATCACGCAGGCACGCTCGAGGGCAGGTCCGACATGTCTCCGTTGGACCGTTGTGTGCCTCCCCAACACCCTGATCGAGCCCCAAAGTCCTGAGCTGCTCCCTCCGCTGAAGGCAGGAGCTGTGTCTCCCCCACCAGCCTGGACCTTCCTAAGGCTACACCCGCTGCATAAGACTGAAAGGTGGGGGTCTGCCTTTGCTACCGGACACTGCTTCTTTAGAGGAGGCCTGTATCTCCCCCACCCCACCCCCTACCGCCC